GAATACTGCAAAACGTAACAATGCATATGTTAAGAAAACATGCTAACCTTGGACTGGTTAAACAGACTTGATTCCATCTGTTCCCAAATGCCTAGTCAATCACTTGATCTAAATCCAATTGAAAACCTATGTTCAATACTCAAAGGTAAAATTAAAAAAAAAATGTGTAATGATGAAGTTTGTCTTTTCAATTGAATTAAAGAGTCATGAGCATGATTTTACATAGCTTAGAACGATTGTTATTAAAAATTTTTTTTGATAGTATGCCTCAGAGAATCAAAGCAGTCCTTGCTACAAAACGTGATATGACTAAGTACAAATTTAGGAAATTTTGTTTCTAAGAAATGACTCAATAAGGTAATAACAATATAATAATTGTGACAATTATTTTGTATTATATGTCTGGTAAAACTTTTATTAAAGCAACATTACATTATGTATGTTTTAATGGTTTGACATTAAGTTTCTTCAAAAAACAATTTAGCATTTGTTTGTTTTCTTATTTAACATAAATATATAATTGATTTATAATTTTGCATAAGCATGATGTTTATGTATTAATAATTTAAATAAAATCACTCATTAAATGTGTTTTTTTATTTCAATTAGAAATTTTGCAAAAAAAACCACACAAAATTTCATACCCGTTTTTTTTGGCCCTGACTGTATATATACAGCATGGAAAATAAGTAATCAAAGGCGAGCAGTCAATTCACCTGGCCAACACAGGGAATTTACAGTCAAATTTGTTTTTGGATGGTCAAAATTTTAATTTTTAAATTTAAATTTTTATCTTAGTAATAGTTCTTCATGACTTTATTAAATACAAAAAAATATTAATGCTAGAAAATAATGAATTGGTGTTATTTTAATAATATTAATTTTAAATAAAATCGATGCTTTTTTAAAAGTGCAAACAGGCAAATGATAATTTTTAATTTATTTAAAAATAATTCATTTTGTTGCAATGACTTTGCAAATGGTGGGAAAAGCTACAAGAAAAATAGTTTGAATAAGATTGAATAAAAATATTGAATAGATTGAATAAAAAAAGAAAAAGTACATTTGCAATAATGTTCTTAATTACAACAATTCCGAATAAAATAAGAACTTTAATCTTAAGCTAAAGAAGAAAAAATAATTTAAAAAACTGTTTATGTCAATTTGTTAATGATAATGTAATTAACTCTCGTTTGCACATACTATTTAAACTGAGTATTTAATATTCAGTTTAAATAGTACGTAGTTCAGTTTAAATAGTAAATAGTATAAAATGATTGTTTTATTAAATACTACTATAAAAGTTAATTATGTTGCATAAAACAACATTTTTACTAAATATATATACTTTTTTAATAATCCTATTATAGAAAAAAAGCGCAAAATAATTGCACAAATAAAAAATTTCCAAAAAATCACGCATGGAAACTTGTACATGTTTTGTCTATTATTTTAACAAATTATTTCTACATTAAGAATGAACAAATTATCTACATTATGAATGAACAAATTATCTACATTATGAATGAACAAATTATCTACATTATGAATGAACAAATTATCAACATTATGAATGAACAAATTATCTACATTATGAATGAACAAATTATCTACATTATGAATGAACAAATTATCTACATTATGAATGAACAAATTATTTCTACATTAAGAATCAGCAAACAAAAAAGTCAATCAGCTGTATATAAGCAGCCCTTAAATCTAATTCTATCAAATCTGAGGCTAAAAAAACTTTCATAACAAAAATAAAATTTTCTAGAAGTATTTAAAAAGCTGAATTTTTTGAGAATACACATTTTCTTTGGTTACTTTGAAATAAAGATTGTAAGATTATCAATCAGAGTTTAAAAAAATTTCAAACATTCTTCAATATCAGTTGAATAAATATGCATAAAATTATTGTACAGATAACATTAAAGTTATACAAGTTCTTTTGATGCTTTTATTAAAAGACTCATTCATTAATATAAAATCCTTTATTGAATATAAACTCATATATTTTTTATAATCAACTAAACTATGGTAATTATTGTAAAAAACTAATAAATTTTTAATGTAGCCAAAAAAACTTTATATATACAGAAATTTGCATTTATATTTACAATGTCAGTTAATTTTGATGAAACAAGATGTGCGAAAGTTTTAAAAAGATATTTACTTAAGATTTTTCTTAGACAATACATATATAAGAAAGATTATATATAAAATACTTGGTTCCATTTTTTAGTTCCAGTTTTAATAATGCCATTTTTTATTTTTTCATTTTTATTTTAAGATATTAAAGATACGTTAAAGAAAATTTTTACTATTAGGCGGCCTTTCTAGCATTAACCTGATTTGCAGATTGAAGCTGAGTATTTTTATTGTGATACTATTACAAAGAGGATCACTAAAGTACAAAAACTCCTAAAACACTCATAAAAAATTTTTTTTAAGCTTTTTATCAAAAATTTTAAAATTTTTAAAAATAAACAAAAACCCTTATGTGCAGCTTGCACAAATGGTCAAACTTACCAACAAGCATATTTAAGTTAAGAAAAAATTAACTAATTAAAAAATACTTGAGCTCTTCGATTATCAATGAATGAAAGTTCTTTAGGTTTATTATGAATAAAAATGTTTTGCGTTCCGTCTTCTTCATCTTCTATTTTCTAAATAAATTTGAACTAGAACTATACTCTTTCAAATCATTTGAATAATAAATAACTTAGAAGCAGTAAGCATTTTACATGACAAAAAATGATAATATTTTGATGTAATAAGAAAATATTTTGATAATATTTTGATGTTATAAATACCTTAATCATTAATAATTAAAATCATTAAGATAATCATTAAGATATTACATTAAAGTATTAGATATAATTACATTAAGATATTATATTAAATAAGTGATAAGAAAACAATTTTAGCTAAAATTACGTTGATAAAAAAGTTGAGGCAACCAATAAAAGTAAAATTCTAATCTCTTTTGATTGTGGAACAATAATGATTAGTGAAAGACTAATCCTTCTTAATGACCTGTGAAAGTTGCTGCTTGACACCAATAAACCATCACCAGTGTCTAGTAGCCCTGGTGATTATTTATCTCCACTTTATACCAAAAAAGAAATGTAAATAAAACCATCAAATTTTTTGTTTTTTACGATCTACCGATTAGTAAAAAAAGTAGCCAAATAGACAGAATACAGAATAGCCACCAAATATTCGTGGCATCTCTAATTATTATCATTATATAACAATTATTATTATATAAAAATTTACTTTTTATCATTATATTTATTATTTTACTATAACAATCTTAAAAAAAAGTTCATATAAACGTATGTGTTAAATGAAAAAAGTTCATATAAACGCATGTGTTAAATGAAAAATGAAACAAATGATTTTAATGAAAAGATGGCAAAAATTGGAAATGATTTATGGAAACAACTAGAATGCTTGAGCTCGAATTACATCAAAACAATGCAGAAATACAAGAATTTTCAGAATTAATGGTTGTACTCACAATCATTTGCTTTACAAGAAGAAATGCTAAAATAAAATAAAATTGTATTTCTGATGAACTCAAGAAAAAGGTAATGGTAATTGAAAATTCTAATAATGAACGGCATCTTTACTAACAGTACCAATACTTTACATATCTTTACTAACAGCACCAATAAATGTTCATAATGAAAACAAAAAAGCTGTGATCAACATATTACCTGATGATGGAAGTACCAAGAAATATTTAAATTCTGATGTAGCTATTGAGTTGTCACTGCAAGGTAAGATAGAAAAGGTGACTATCAACATGAAAAATGGACAAATTGATTTTTTCAACACTATGCCTGAGGAATTCCAATTAGAGGCATAGAATAAAAAGGGATTATTACAATAGAAGCATATACAGTAAATGTAACAGGAAACTTAAAAGCATTTAATTGGGCAACAATGTCAAAAAGTAGGAGACATTTAAATGATATTGAATTCCCAAACATTGGACAAAATCCAAAAATCAACATTCTAATTGGTGTGGACTATGCTGAGTTACACTGTGCAGTTAAGGAAGTAAAAATCGGATTTAACGAGCCAATTGCTGACTCAAACCATTTAGATGAACATGTATTGCTGATTTTGGTAGATGTCTTAGAACTCATTTAATCAATGTCAAATGAAAAGGACATCAAAGATGCAAACAACACAATAAAAAGTTATGAGAAAGTGACAAAGTTATGCAATTATAAAAAATGATAACGACAATGCTAGAGCTCTAAATTTAGCAACAAAAATTGCTAAAAAAAAGTCTTTGAAAAGTTGATAAGAAGATCTTATGTGTTAATTTATGTTGGTACAAACTACACTTTCCAATTTTTTGTTCAACAACAATAGTAAAAACCATGTTTGATGGGTCTGCAACAGAAAATGGTAAATCTATTAACTGTGTTATTTATCAAGTAACAAAATTTTGTGACAGCTCTACTATGATTTCGTAAATACCCTGTTGCTCTAGCATGTGATATAGCAGAAATGTATTTAAGAATTGAAATACATAAAGATGATCAAAGTTACAAAAAATTTTATGACAAAATCTAGATATTGCCGCAAAGCTTAATGTATCAGTTTATTCAACTAGTATTTTGAGTCAACTCATTGCCTTTCATGGCTCAATTCATAACACAAAAACACGCCAAAAAATATGCAAAACAATTTCCATCAGTTTCAGAAGGTGTTCTTGAAGCAACTTATTTGAATGGTACAATGATTTAAGTAGTTGATGAAAATAAAGGAACACAGTTATACAAAGAACTCACGTTACAATGGTACTTAGTTGGAATGTATTTACAAAAATAGCTTTCAAACTCAATCAAAGTTCTTAAATTAATACCAGAAAATGTTTGAATAAACATTGCTTTATAAGTAACTGTCAATGTGTAAATAATTTGCGTAGAAAAAGTAAATAACAACAGCATAACGAAATGAAATTATTGCTAAGGCTTAAAAAGAAAGCTTCAAAAATGAATATAACATCATTAAAAAGGAATTATATTATCAATATTAGGTAAAATTTTTTCTTTAAACCCACAAATCAATGAAGATGACTTACTACGTTCCTGCAGTCAATTGTAAAATGCTAATTACTTGCCTTACAATGTTAAGTACCCAATCATTTTTCAAAAAGGTCATAGAGTTACTATACTGATAGTTAAACATTATCATGAAAAAGAAAATCTTGTAATGGGAATGGATCAACTGTTAACAAATCTACCAGAATGTTATTGGATCATACGAGGATGAGATAAAATTTATGATGCAGAATCAAAATGCCACAAAAGTAAAAAAGAAAATGAAGCCTACTCAACAATTAATGGCCTCTCTACCATCAATTATTTAAATAACCACAACATACATTTACTAGAATTAATATTGATTTTGCCAGGCCATTTCTTACTATGCAGGGTAAAGGGATGATACAAAATAAAATATATTTGTGCATGATTCTGCGTTTATTATCACAGGCAGGTTATCTTGAGATAGCATATAACTTGGATGCAAATTTATTCCTCAATGTCTTTTATCAAATGGTAAACAGAAGAAGGATATTACTGAAACATCGGATGGACAATAGAACAAACTTTGTTATCTGAAATCATGAGCTAAAACAACTTACCAACAGCTTAAATAAGGATAAAATAAACAGCTCTACATCTAATAAAGGAATCAATTAGAACTTCAATGCTCCATTAGGGACTCATTCTGGTGGGGCATTCAAAAGAATGGAAAAGGCTGCAAAACAAGCAGTAACTGAAATAATTGCAAAAACCGATATTAGTAATAAAGAACTTTATATGCATTTACAAATGCTAAAAGCATATTGAATTTACAACCATCAACAAATCAAAGCGCAGATATAAAGGATGATGTTCCACTGACCTCAAATCCTCAACTTGTCCAGTTAAAATTTTTGACTGGACAAGTTAAAGGACAGTTTATTCAGTTTATTTGGAACTAATAAAGTTTAACTTGAAAAATGCTGGCATAGTGTGCAAGAGTTATTATGTAATTTTTGGGAAAGAATGGCTTTCATCATTAACAAAATGATATAAATGGATGCAAGAAAAATATAATATCAATATAAATGTATTGGTAATTTCTCCAGATACTACCAGAGGACACTGACTACTTAAATTTAGAAGTATTTGTAGGTTAATATGGATAGGTTAAAGTTAAAATAAGTGAAAAAGAATTATTATGTCCAAAAACAAGATTGTGCTTTCTAGAGCTTGAGCCTAAAAATGTTTTGATGAACTACAGTCTAATAAAGCGGGGAAAATGATTAAAAGATAATTTTAGCTAGAATTTCCTAGTAAGAAAATTAGCTATGGCAATTGAATCAATCTTGCAAAATATTATTAATATTATTAACAGAATTAACATTTTATTATTGACATTGGAACTAAAATGAGAAAACATTTATTTTGAATGGTAAAAGATTTTTATAAAGTATAAATAATAACAGTACAAGCGGTTTTTTAATTTTGATTAATATTGATCACCATTGGATCAATAAAGACATTATTACATTAAAGTATTATATTTAAATATATATTTTTAAAATAAGATATTATATTATGATTTTATATTAGAATACTATGTATGCAATATAAACAATTAATAATAACTTAATAGTCGTTATTAATTGTTTATATTGCATACATTTTAATACTTTAAAATCAATAATTCATAGTTTGTTGCTCTAGTAACTAAACTTTAATTCCCCTATTTTATTTTTGCAAAAATTCTTCTCTTTATTTAGAAAAAATGTTAAACTATGTTTTTTTGTTGTTTTTTTTAATACAAAGAGGTATACCACCCATTATGTTTGCTTTTGCCCCTATTTCCACCCCTCGTGTGTGCAACTTCTGTTAATGATTTATTATTTAGAAACCCCTAATAAATATTGAAAAACTAAACAAAAAAGTCCTGCACACACGAGGGTTGAGAGTAGATATTTCAATTTTGCTAAGTGTTGTTTTAAATGACTTCCCAGCAGGTTTTTTCAATGTTTCTAATATCGAATTAAGTAATAAAAATCTAATCTATGAAATATAAAGTTCATTTTCAACAATATTCTAAATTAAAGATATACTATCTAGTATTTTTAACTATGTTTACATATTATGCACAATTGTTTTCAAATTAAAAACTTCACAAAAAACAATTCGAAACACACCAAGATAGGTGCGATTCATTAACTTTATTTCTTATTCACACTAAATAATAAACGCAAGTAGAAATATGATGATCAGGGATATCCAAATCATGTTTCTGTAGGCATAAATCATCCACTAAATAGAATTTTGATTTTAATTTAAAAATACTTTGAAAATCCTGTCTTTTGCAATAGGTAGTGCATATAAATTTGTACATTTTACCTTCTCCATTAGATGTTTCATTCGGTAGTTGATGGACATTTAACTTATTTGGAATATCCAACTCAATAAAAAGAAAAAGGAGGAACACCATTAAAATTGTTGCAAAATCAAAAGTTGATGTGAACAGTAAGAACACTTTTTTAGAAGAAAAAAGTTTGACTAGTTCTTCAACTACTTTTGAGAAGTAGAGATCATTAATAGTTCAAGTTGAACTTCGCATGCACAATTGATTATTGCAAACTAGTTGTGACTCAAAAAACTGAATTGGAAATTAATGAAATATTCCATTTCAGTTCCAAATGTAGAGATAGAGAGATTTCCATTTTTGTCTTGAGAAACACAAAGCTTGCAAACATCTATGAGCCAAACACTTTTGCTTTATCCTAAGTATTGATATCAATAAACCCTATTATAGAAATAATTTTTTTTTTTGAGATCAGAATATTTCAATTTAATCAATATGTTCTCAGACAGATCAATTCACAATTTCAATTTCTTTGGATTGACTACATCTTGCAGAGACAGTGAAGGCTTTACATTCTTGATAGATTTATCTTCATCTACGCTTAAATGATCATCAAATGACTCAGAAGAAGAAACTAAATTAATTTTAGGCTTCTTTTTAAAAATCTTTTTAAACTTTTTAGACTCGTAAACTTCATCTTACGAAGTTTTAATTTATGTCAACATTAAAGTTTCTGGTTTGGCGCTATTATTAAAAAAGAATGTTATTAATCCAGCTGAATTCAGAAGAATTCAGCTGGATTACTAACATTCTTCTTTAATAATAGCGCCAAATTAATAAGTATTTTCCACATGCTAAATAATAAATTACATTAGCGATATGTGTGAAGCAACTTAATATTCTCATCCCAGAATTACAAGTACAGTACCTTATATTCCTGTTTCATCATTTGTATTAGGTGAATATTGCACATAAACTTTATACTTTGTAGAACCAGAATGAGTTTCTATCTTTTGAAACAACATGTGCATCTATATTCCTGTTAATGTTATTTTACTCATTTTTAGTTTAATCTTGAAAAAAATTAAACCAAGTGTGTTCCACACTGTTAATCTTTTAATTTTGACATTTTATAATTTTAAAACAACTTTTTTATATTCCCATTGGGAATTTTCTTCCATTGGAAATTCTCTTTAATAGCATTAAGTCTACAATGCAGTCAATTAAGTCTAATGTCTTAGAAAATTGCGAGACTTTTTTTAATTTTTTTATTTTATTAAATAGGCGGTTAATTAATTGTAATAGTTAATTATTATATATAAATAATTATTATTAAATAATCCTACGCATTATAGTCAAAATAATAGTTTTGTAGTAATTTTAGACATTTATTTAAACACAAACCAAAAGGGACAAAAACTTGATAGCTATACGCCTAACCTCTTTATAAAAAATTTTAAAGAATCTACTTAAACTCACGAGAGATGGTTTTTAAAAAATCAAAATGCAATACATACATTATTAATTATGTTTACATACATTATTATGTTTGCAAATGTTACATAAGTTTAAGTTTAAAAAATAATAATATAATTTTTAAATAAAAGTATATAATAATATAATTTTTGAGAATGATAACAAATTTTTTTTATTGGTGTGAACAAATTTTTGAGTACAACCACTTCATTTATTAGAAACCCATAGCTCAATATTTTATCAAAAATTATAGTGTTAAAAACTTATACCAGCATGCTTTTTCTACATAGAAGTTCAAATTATTAATAATATTTTCTATTAAATAAAAGTACCTCTCTCTTCTGGTATGCAGAAAACATTTCATCAATTTCTTCAAAATCAAGGTATGGAACAACCTTAATTGAAATCATTAAGTTGTAATTAAATGCTTACAACAAAAAACTTTAGTCATTGGAGTAGAGCACTGGTCTTTTCTTGACATTTGAAAATAAGATTTGGTAAATTTTAAGAAAAACTTGGAGTAAATAACTGCAGGTTTAACTCCAGAAATTTATATTTTTTTAATCATCTAAGTTATAATGACAAAAAAATATATAAAAAATGTAAGCATTTGTATTATAAAAAATATATAGATATGAGGCTAAATGAATTTTAGAAATAAAAGACTGATAACAAAAAGTATTTAAAATGACAATTTTAGAACTAATATCAGTTTTTATAACATCAATAAAATACTGAAATTGGTATTCCAGCACTAACCCAGTATTTAGTTTTACAATAATTCCGTATTTGGTTCAGTATAATTCAGCACTTATTAAGAATTCAGAACAGTCATAACAAAAATACTTTACAGTAATAAATAACTGTTGAATATTAATTGCTGACCTTGTTTTCATCTATATCTTCCCATATTGTATTTTTTAATTTTATCTAAAAAAAGAAACTAATAAAAATTGAATGCAATAACAATAATAATATCTACATAAAACAGAATTAGAAATACTTTGAAAATTTTTTTTCTGGTAAAGGGACATAAAAGAAGTACACATTAAAAAAAAAAAAAGTTTTTACACAGGCAAAAACTAATAAAGGCAGATGTCTCTCAGCAAATTTTTCATCTGTTTCAGTTAAAGAATTGTTTACTATGCAAAGCAAAATAGTTAAAAGAAAGTTTTTGTGTAACAACTCATTTTAAAAAGTGCATTTTTAAAACACATGACCAGGGCAAAAATATAAAACAATTATAAAAAAATAAAAATATGCAAATACCTATTTTTTTCCAGTAAACTTAAAACAAACAAGATATTTGTTTATAAAAAAAAATGAGTTTGAGAGTTATTTGTTATGACATACTTACGCATATTTCACTATTAAGTGCATATAGCTGCATATTACTTAACAGAGCAAATTTAAGCATAATAATGGGGACATATTGTGTTTTTTTTTTGTTCAGTGTGGTATAAACATGAAACTTGGTAAAAATTAAGACAAAAACTTGACAAACCTTTTTAGGGTTGGTGGCAAATTATAGAACACATGTGAAGTTGACATTTTAGATTTCAAAATGGCCACCTTTAAAAATGAGTTTTACTAAACACCTTAACTTTCAGAATAACCAAAAAATCGATTTTGTTATCTACTAATACAATTTGGGTCATTGAATTCGTAGGTGACATTTCCAATTTGGGCATATATATTTAAATTCTAAGATGACAACCATAATGGCAGATAAATCTTTAATAAATGTAGTTATTTACAAAGCTATAATTCTTTTAAATCTCTTTTTTTTTTTTTTACACAGAATTTGAATGAATTATAGGAAAGAAGGTAATTGTTTATATCATATTTAGCAGTTTAAAACTACTCAAATTTAATTTTCTTGCTGCAACAAAAATATTAAAAGCGATGCAAAAAGTATTATTTTAGCCATTGATAATGTAGTATCGACATTTCATGTACATTAAAAGTCACACTGGGTGACAATTGCATTTGTCAATTATGTTGTCAGTTACTACAATTGCTTTTCTTTGAAAACTTATAACTCAGTAACTCCACACATGTTTACATTGCTTCTCGAAAAGATGTCCATATTGGTTTCTACTTGCCACCACATAACTTTTTCCGACTGCAGTTATTTGGTGATAGTTTAGTAATGCTTCTAAAGTTTGATATACTGCAGCATATCAGTTTGATATACTGCAGAAGAAGAATTGATTGTTTTGGAGACTGTAGATTTTTTTTTGTAGTGAACAGGTGTTGTCTTGTAGAATCAATAGATAAGATGGTGTTACTTTGTTCATATGTCAGAATTGCAAACTTTTTTAATAACTTGATCATCTCTTTTGTAATTGATGCTGTTGAATTGGAAAAAATTTGAAAAGCAAGCATAGCCTCACCAAAATTTGACCACATATTCCAAGTAGATTTGACCACATATTCCACACAGGTTTGACTACATATTCCAAACAGGTTTGACTACATATTCCAAGCAGGTTTTTTCTTTACTGTAAAAGAGAGAAACAGTTTTGCAAACAGAATATATTGTTGTACTGCAATCATTAGTTCTTGTCAAAAAAGAATTATACTAATTGTTTATAATTTTTCAAAAAATTTTAGTGTTTAATGATTACACCATGGAAGTTGAGATATTCAGTAAAATTATTTTTCAATGCAACCATTTTGAAATATATAATTGCGACCTTACATGCCCCAACCATTGAATCATCTAGGTTGTATCTTTATTTCCAGTTTTATGCTTGTACCATATTACAAGCAAAACTTGTGAATTTTTTTGACAACATGTCTCCACGACAAATAATTATTTTAATGGATTTCTTTTTTGTTATTTCTTGTTTTCATGTTGTTGCATATTAAAAAAATTTAGTAACTGACTTTAATAAATCATTTTTATTTAATAATAAGATTTTAATAGTTTTAGTTTGTAGTTACAATGTTTGTATAAACTTGAATTATCTGATTTGATTTGCAATTTTTTACTATTTCACAAAATTTAAAATGCTGTCATGGATTTTTTAATTTGATTTGATTTGTGAAAGAACTTAAATTCAACAACTGCCAATGTAATGTGCAAGAAAGTTTTGCTAATAAAATTATAAAAACAAATTCAGAAAAATAATGTTTAGTAAAACTTTACCAAAGTAAAGCAATCCATATTAAATAAAGTAAAGCAATCCATATTAAATAAATTGATGCAAATTGTGAGGACATATCTTGATTTGAAAATGTAAAAATTTTATTTTGCATTCTGTGCAATAAATCTGTTTTAGCAGAGTAAATATTTATAGTTAAACAATACCTAAAAAGAGCAAGACATATTGAGAATTTAGAAAGAATTGTTTTTAAATCTGTAAAAAATTGTTATTTGTAAATAACAATTAATGAAACTACTGATGTTTCTGGGAATTAGATTGCAAATGTTGTTATTGGAATAATATGTCAAGTGCAAGTAATCACCAAACAAAAATTTTTATTACTGAGCTTAATAAAGGTAATCATATTGCTTTGGTTACCTTTCTTAGCTTTCAACAAGCCTGAGAAGATTTTCAGTAAAAATTTTGACACTACTTTGCTGTTTATTTCTGATGCTGCAGTGTATATGGTAAAATATATTTGGTCTATTCCTGACTTTAGAGTTTTTAGAGTTTGAAAAATTTGTTAAAAAAATAAGTTTAGAAAGTATTTTATCTAACATGAGTCAAAGCATGTTAGATAAAATACTTAAGCAATCTCATAATATTTATTTTAAACCAAAAATAAAGTAATATTTTTCATAACACAAAACTTTTTAAATTTGTTTAGTTTAATTTTTTTTTTTAAACAAAATAGTCACACTTTTTAGAAATCACCCTTTGTAAGGTGCAACTTTTTTGTTGCCATGCATTTAAAGAATATATTTAATATTGTAATAATAATATAAGACAAACTTACATCAGAAAGCTTAGACCAATTAAATGATTTTAGAGGTTGAGAAGGTTTTGGTAGTTTGGATTTTTTCTTTGTAATATTGGTTGTTGCTAAAATGATTAACACAGTATACAAAAAGTAATCAACAAAAAGTAATCAACTTACTGAGTTACAAGTACAACACAGCAAAATTGCAATTCTGAATAAGAAATAATTTTCTTTAAACAAGAAAGATATTTCTTCTTTTTAGAAATAAATTTCACATTCCACTATTTATTTCCTAAAACAAGAAATATATTTCTTATTTTAAAAATTACATTTCTTAACTATAGACAATTGATTTATGATTTTGCTGTAAATCTTAAAACCATAAATATATTTCTTGTTTTAAGAAACAAATTTCCTATTGTGTAATTTATTTCTTAAAACAAGAAATATATTTTTTATTTTAGGAAATACATTTCTTAAACAATGGACAAATTACAATTTTGCTGAGTATTGCTATAATGAAACTGAATGTATGCACAATATAACACATTTAGCCTGAATACAACATTAAAACCAATTGATGTAATAAAAAACATTTATTTTATTATTAAGAAAAAAAATAAAAGTCGTTATTAACTAAAGATTAAACAAATACAGGCCTCCCTTTTCTTAAAAAAGGGTAAAATGTTATGATTTTGGTTTTTACATTTTTTTTTATGACTTTTTAAGACAAATTAGAGTGAAGTTAAGACATTTTAGAATAATTTAAAATTAAGAATGAGTTTCTGAATTTAATCCGAAACCTAAATGTTTTAAAATTAGGTTTTGGAATTATTTACTCCTTAAAGTAAATAACAAATAAACTTTAAACATTATTAGTAATAATGTAAAAACTCATGAACGTAATAATGACAACTTTCAAACGTTAAATGTTTGCAAGAAAAAAACTTATTAAACTTAAAAAATATATATCTAAAACACTAAAAAAATTACCATGTTAAATAATGTTTTAAGAAACAAATTTCCTATTGTGTAATTTATTTCTTAAAACAAGAAATATATTTTTTATTTTAGGAAATACATTTCTTAAACAATGGACAAATTACAATTTTGCTGAGTATTGCTATAATGAAACTGAATGTATGCACAATATAACACATTTAGCCTGAATACAACATTAAAACCAATTGATGTAATAAAAAACATTTATTTTATTATTAAGAAAAAAAATAAAAGTCGTTATTAACTAAAGATTAAACAAATACAGGCCTCCCTTTTCTTAAAAAAGGGTAAAATGTTATGATTTTGGTTTTTACATTTTTTTTTATGACTTTTTAAGACAAATTAGAGTGAAGTTAAGACATTTTAGAATAATTTAAAATTAAGAATGAGTTTCTGAATTTAATTCGAAACCTAAATGTTTTAAAATTAGGTTTTGGAATTATTTACTCCTTAAAGTAAATAACAAATAAACTTTAAACATTATTAGTAATAATGTAAAAACTCATGAACGTAATAATGACAACTTTCAAACGTTAAATGTTTGCAAGAAAAAAACTTATTAAACTTAAAAAATATATATCTAAAACACTAAAAAAATTACCATGTTAAATATATAATTACTATATTTTTTACCAGACCATACCCAATGGTGTATAATGAGGACATTATCATTATTTTTTTTCTTTCAATTTTTTTTAACATTAAAGAAATCTTTTTGAAGGATTCTATTTCATTATTTATTTGACTTATTTGAAATATATTTAGATTTAAATATAAATCATTAAACATTTATACATTTTTGTGATCATCTAACTATTTAGGCAAATAGACAGCTTAACTCCAATAATTAGTGAGATTGTCTTTTTCCTAATGGTAAAATGTGGTTTTGTGTTTTCCTCCCTCATCATTAATGTTTTTATAAGGTCTGTAACTATGCATTCTTCTTGAATGGTTTGTATAAAAATAAATGATTAATTTGAAACTAATGTATAAATAAGCAAGTTTTATACTTATTTAAAATCATCACTTATAATCCTATTACTTTACACAAAATTAACAAATGTTTAAAAACTTCTTATTTATTGAATAACATTCAGAATTTACTTAATTTCAGAATTTACTTAACGTTCAGAATTGGCTTTACTTAATTGAAAAATTATTTCAATTTTTAAAAAGTTTAAGACATATAGTCATAATTACAATTTATGATTTTTAAGCTGCTTTTCTTGATTTCCAAGATTAAGAGAAAAGCATTGATTCAAACCTGTGTGAATTGATTTTCATCATTCATAAACGCTTTGTTTTTATAGCTTACTATTTAAATATAGATCGTTGTCCTCAATCTATATCCTAAGTATATCCTCAATCTATATCCTAAGTATATCCTCAATCTATATCCTAAGTATATCCTCAATCTGCTTCTTTTAAAATTGTAGATGGTGATAAACAGTCAAAAAAAAAAGTCTTCTAAATCTTTGCTTGCAAAAGAATTAAAGTAAGAAATATACATACTCCATCAGATTTATTAACAACTTTGCTTTGATGTGCATTATGGTTTTAAGTAAAGAAAATTTTTACTTTTGATATAATGAAATAGCATGCATGCACAATATCAGACAACATTTAAAATATTTTTAAGTTTGTTTGAACCTACCTACAATTTTCCTTATATGGGTTTATTAGTAGTTATATAAAGTGAATCAAAACCCACCATCTTTGGTATAATGTTTTTATAAGCCTTACATATCATTGGATTCTGAAATCATGTGTTGTGAATACTATGTAAAATTTAGTGATTTCACTTTTTAAATTCCAACATACAACTAAACAAATACAAAAGACAAAACACCATTAATTGCATTTGCAAAGATTTTAATTTAATGGCATGTTGAAAAAAGCAGTTCCTTTCAATTCATTCATATCAGACATACGTCATTTAAAAAATTAATTTTATAAGTTTAAAAATAAATTTAATATTTTTTTTATAGAATGTTATTAACATTAAGTTTTACAACAAAAAGACAATGATGTTTCATCAAGTATAAATAAATACCCAGTAGAGGAGGTGCAAGAGGGACTTCACCAAACACAGGGGGTGGAGGAGGTGGAGGAGGTGGAGTCACAATTTTTGAATCTGGTACAATTGTTGGTGATATTGACTGGTAAAAAGGAATAGGCAATTCAGAAACGGTTGATATCTTTGCAATATCATTTAAAGTACTTTGATCTTTTACCAAACTTTCAAGTTTATTTTTTATAATCTTTTCATTATTAAGCTGTTGTTCAAGTATATCTTTCTGAGATAACAACTCTTCAAATTTTTTTTTAAGCTCTTCTAAACTACTACTTTCTTTTTCAAGTCTGTCAGCCATTTTTTCAATGGTATTTTTCATCTCTTCTAATTCTGATTCACGTTTAGCTAGCTTTGAAACTGTTTCATCTTTAAAGTCATCTGTATTCATTCTAAAAAACATAAAATTATGTTGTGATAAACTATGAAAAAATGTAATAAATTATAATATAAAACCATTTATGTTTATAAACCACTCTAACTTATAACAAGTTTAAACAAAATTTGTCTACCTTTCAATTATATGTGCTATGTGAATGTCAACAGGTGCTACATCAGGATCTGATCCGTCTTTTTGCTGCAATGCAATTTCCTGAACAATTCTATCTAACATACGCCAGTAACCAAATGCCTCTTTTGTTTGATCAACTATAAATTTACCCATAAAACATAAATTGCATTGCTAATACATGCTATATATATATATATATATATATATATATATATATATATATATATATATATATATATATATATATATATATATATATATATATATATATATATAAATATATATATATATATATATTTATATTTATATTATACTATAAAAGAAGTTTAAAAAGTTAGTAATTTGCATTAACTGCTTTATGCTTTTGCTACATAATTAATAATAATTTTTTACCATATATAATAACCTTTTGCTTACAAAAATGATTAGTGTATTATTTATCAGTCACGTAGTGAGGAGAATATTAATTCATCAATCACAGCAAGGCCTTAAAATGATTGTTATTGTTTTTAAAATAAAATAAACATTAAACAATTAAGCATAACAACTAATGAACAGCTGTTACAACATTATTTACTTTTTGACTTGTCAGAAATTGGTAATGAAGTTCAGCTTGTCAGCAAGGCCACCAACCAATTCTCTTCAGCAAAAAAATTGACTATAAATTATGAACAGCGATGTCATTTGCTGCCTCCTCTTTTATCACTTCAAAAAACGCTCACTAAATAAATCAATATGAATTGGAGAAAAAATCTCATAAGATTGATTCTGGTGAAATACAACAGGAAATATTGTATAATGAATACTAGCTGTTGAATGTGAATAGAGCAAAAGCATAAAAGCTGCAGATTTAAAGAGCGTATATTTAACAACAACTTGATGAAACTTTTCAGACTATGCCACCAAGAATTTTTTAAATATCATGAAAAACAATGAAGACAGACAACTATGCAGAGAATAGATTTCATCAGTATAAATACATCAGTTACATCAGATTGAACATAGATGAATCATTGCATGTGTGATCTACACTGATTTAATGGACATCTGCTTCTCATAAGAGCTCATGGGGCTAGCTTTCTTTGACAATAAAGTTCCTTTAATTATCAAAAAGGCTATGATAGCTC